AGGAAAGGAAATGGTGATGGGGGGGAAGAGGAAAATGGGGAAAAAATGGGGGAATGGGGAGAAAATGGGGAAAAAAGGGGGAAAAAAATGGGGGAATGGGGAAAAAATGGGGAAAAAAGAGGGAAAAATGGGGAAAAAAACAGGGGAAAATGGGGAAAAAAATGGGGAATAAATGGGGAATAAAATGGGGAAAATGGGGAAAAAAATGGGGAAAAAAATGGGGAAAATGGGGAAAAAAATGGGAAAAAATGGGGAAAAAAAATGGGGAAAAATGGGGAAAAAAATGGGGAAAAATGGGGAAAAAAATGGGGAAAAATGGGGGAAAAAACAGAAAAAAATGGGGAAAAATGGGGAAAAAAATGGGGAAAATGGGGAAAAAAAATGGGGAAAAATGGGGAATAAATGGGGAAAAAATGGGGAAAAAAATGGGGAAAAATGGGGAAAAAAGAGGGGAAAATGGGGAAAAAAGAGGGAAAAATGGGGAAAAAAGAGGGAAAAAAGGGGAAAAAATGGGGAAAAAAATGGGGAAAATGCTGATGGAAAAGGGGGAATTTCATGGGAGGGAAAACACCGGGAAAACACTTCGGAAAATTGGGAATTTCACGGAGAAAAAGTGGGAAAAAGGCTCTGGAAAAGCGGGAATTTCACGTAGAAAAAGCGGGAAAAAGGCTGTGGAAAATCGGGAATTTCACAGAGAAAAAGCGGGAAAAAGGCTGTGGAAAATCGGGAATTTCACGGAGAAAAAGCGGGAAAAAGGCTGTGGAAAAGCGGGAATTTCACAGGAGGAAAAAATGGGAAAACACCTCTAGAAAAGCGGGAATTTCACGGAGAAAAAGCAGGAAAAAGGCTGTGAAAAAGCGGGAATTTCACGGAGAAAAAGCGGGAAAAAGGCTGTGAAAAAGCGGGAATTTCACAGGAGGAAAAAACCGGAAAACACTTCGGAAAAGCGGGAATTTCACGAGGAAAAAAACCTCTGGAAAATCGGGAATTTCACAGGAGAAAAAGCGGGAAAAAGGCTGTGAAAAAGCGGGAATGTCACAGGAGAAAAAGCGGGAAAAAGGCTGTGGAAAAGTGGGAATTTCACGGAGAAAAAGCGGGAAAAAGGCTGTGGAAAAGCGGGAATTTCAAGGAGAAAAAGCGGGAAAAAGGCTGTGGAAAAGCAGGAATTTCCCAAGGAGAAAAACTCTGGAAAAACGGGAATTTCACAGGAGGAAAAAACCGGAAAACACTTTGGAAAATTGGGAATTTCAAGGAGAAAAAGCGGGAAAAAGGCTGTGGAAAAGCGGGAATGTCACCTGTACTTGCGCGCCACCTCCGGAAGGGACACGCCCCTACGGAGCGCCAGCTGGGCCAGGTGCAGCACGGCCATTCCCAAACTCTCGTTCTTGAATCCCTGGAGTTCGGATTCGCTCCGGAAATCCCGCAGCGACGCCACGTCGTGGATGAAGTCGAATTTTCCCTGTGGGAAACGGAAATTCAAGTTGGAATGATGATTAGGGGTTAATTAATTAATTAGGTGGGGGATGGAAATAATAAAATTCAAATTATTGATAGTAATTAATTGTAATTTTCCTCGTGAGAAACAGAAATTAAAGTTGAAATGATGATTAGGAAATAGAAATTAAAATTGAAATGATGATTAGGAATTAATTAATTAGATGGGGAATAGAAATAATAAAATTCAAATTATTGATAGTAATTAATTATTATTTTCTCTGTGGGAAATAGGAATTAGAATTTAAATTATCATTAGGGAATAGAAATTAAAATTGAAATGATGATTAGGAATTAATTAATTAGATGGGGAATAGGAATAATAAAATTCAAATTATTGATAGTAATTAATTATTAAGTTGATCTTAAGTAGCGATAGAGAATTGTGGGGGATCCTGATGGAAATCCCACTGGATCCTGGAAAATCCCATTGGATCCTGGAAAATCCCACCGGATCCTGGATAATCCCACTGGATCCTGGAAAATCCCATTGGATCCTGAGAAATCCCATTGGATCCTGAGGAAAATCCCATTGGATCCTGGAAAATCACATTGGATCCTGGATAATCCCACCGGATCCTGATAATCCCATTGGATCCTGAGGAAAATCCCATTGGATCCTGAGGAAAACAATCCCAAATAATCCCACCGGATCCCAGCGAATCCCACCGGATCCTGGATAATCCCACTGGATCCTGAGGAAAATCCCATTGGATCCTGGAAAATCACATTGGATCCTGAGAAATCCCATTGGATCCTGGATAATCCCATTGGATCCTGGATAATCCCACCGGATCCTGGATAATCCCACTGGATCCTGGATAATCCCACTGGATCCCGGCGAATCCCACCGGATCCCGGCGAATCCCACCGGATCCCGGATAATCCCACCGGATCCCACCGGATCCCGGCGAATCCCACCGGATCCTGGATAACCCCACCGGATCCTGGATAACCCCACCGGATCCCGGCGCAATCGATCCCGAGCGTCCCCGCCGGATGATCCCAATCCCCATTTCCCCACCTGCTCGAACAGGTACTGGAAGGAGGCTCCGTCCAGCACGGCCGCTCCCGGCGCCTTCTCCTCGGGCCCATCCCCCGGGCGCGGAACGTTCCGGAACACCGCCGCCTCCCGCCCGTTCAGCCCGTGCCAATTCCGGAAATAAAACCTGCAGTGACCGAGAGCATGCGGAAAAAACGGGAATTTCATTCCCGCCTGGGAATGAGGGGAAGAAGGAACGGGATCATCCACAGCTTTCCCCATTTTTCCCCATTTTATTCCCCATTTTTTCCCCATTTTATTCCCAATTTTTCCCCATTTTTTCCCCATTTTATTCCCATTTTTCCCCCATTTTTTCCCATTTTTTCCCCATTTCATTCCCATTTTTCCCCCATTTTTCCCCCATTTTTCCCCCATTTTTTCCCATTTTATTCCCATTTATTCCCATTTTTTTCCCCTATTTTTTCCCATTTTTTTCCCATTTTTTCCCCATTTATTCCTATTTTTCCCCCTATTTTTTCCCATTTTTTCTCCATTTTTTCCCCCTTTTTCCCCCATTTTATCCCCATTTTTCCCCCGTTCTATCCCCATTTTTTCCCCATTTTATTTCCATTTTTTTCCCATTTTTTCCCCAATTTTTTTCAGATTTCTCCCAATTTTTTTTGGATTTCAATCCCAAACCTCATCCTGAAGATGAGGCAGACGTCGCTTTCCTCCGCGATGTGGAACTGGGAATGAGGGGCAGCAGGAATGGGACCACCCAAACCTTTCCCCATTTCATTCCCATTTATTCCCATTTTATTCCCATTTTATCCCCATTTTTTCCCCATTTTATTCCCATTTCCCCCCCTATTTTTTCCCATTTCTTTCCCATTTTTTCCCCATTTTATTCCC